AATTGTTAACGACGTTTCCAATGGAATTGTATAGGACGTTTCCAAATATATCAATTTTAAGACTCGTTTCTTAATATAATGCGTAATTGAAAGTCATATAAGACCCCTTAGCTATATGTATTAGTGTAAGATAGTGAAGAATCAAACATAGGTGTGGTCCGTAGACAGGGATATGTCATCCCTCGGATAAGGGTTGGGCTGTCCGGTACTCTGACCACACCCATGTGAAATTATTATTCTCGAATATTCAAAATAAAAATGCTAGAATGATGTTATAATTATTGCTGTGAGAATCCGTTTTTTAACCTGTTCATATCTGTTGTCCTTTCCTCAGACAAGAAGTTTCGGAGTGAAAAGCTACAAAAGAGGTGGTGTGTTATCCATGGCGGTAATTTCTATTACTTCAACAAGTGCACTGACATAAGACAGAAGGGATGCTTCAGCCTGAAAGGTAACATTCAATTCACCTCGAGTAGTTTATACCGAGTGTAACGGTTTATTATAACCGAGTGTAACGGTTTTTACCGAGTGTAACGGTCTACACATGATAACTGTAGTATGTGAATATGTCCAAACACGGCACCAATGCTTTTTAGATTGTTCAGTTTATTTTAGTAATACATACAATTTTGTCTTTATTTATCTTTATAGATAAATATTTAAATTGATTTAAAAACAAAATATTCCAAAATATTCTTATTTTGTATTTAAAAGTAATCATAAGCAGACTAGCACATGCTAAAATATACAGTTTTCGCAACTCTGTTGAATACCATTATGAAAGTAAAAACATATTTCAATCCTAAAAATCATTTTAGCAACACAAACTAAAAATTGTTATTTATGTTATTGTAGTTTGAAAACAAAATATTTTGGAATCGAGTTCAATTAATTTCGATTATACATAATCAAATAAGGAATTACAAAGACAGATATTTTTCTTGTTGAGGTACATTTCTCCTGTTTGCCACCTGACACGTATCACAAACATATAACGATACTCCGCTCTGTATACAAGGATAGTTTACGTACGGTATAAAGATGAATCTGCTAATTGAAACCTACAGAGAGCATTTTACGTTAGGTACCACTAAAGAAAGGCGATTTCAATGTACTCACCACTAGTCACATTTAATACTCAAAATAGTCAAATCTGCTCTCGACAAATTAAACTTTTTTCTTTCTTTTATTTTCTTGTACATTAGGTTATTCCTTCCGTAAGCTGGGTAATTTGTCATTTGCCATTGTTTGTGAAGGAAAGCGCCCTTATGAGGTATGTTGTAGCAACACAGGTTCTTCAATTTTTGTTACGTTTTGGTTGTTGTTTGGTTTGTTTTTGGTGATATTATTATCATGAAAAGATATTTTTGTTATATTAAGATGATTAGATAATTTTCATACCATTATACCATTAGTTGATGCCCTACACGCCACTGGGCGTACAGGGCAGTACATAAGTATACCATTAGTTATCTGCATGATTGAGAACAATGTGCTTTTTTAACATAACTATCTCGTTTTAAAGATCGTGCATTTCAGGGAAACATTTAAAACATGATACATGTGCCAACATTTAGAGTACATGGTGTGTGTGTTTCTAAGTGATCCCTTCACTAGTCAACAAAACGTTTCTAGTAGTGAAGGATCTATAAACCATACATATGACATTAATTACATCAACCTAAAAACAGGATAGGAGGACAATTGCAAGTTGCTATTTATACAATAAAACAAATATTGCATACATGAGAGTGCATTTAGCAAAATTTTCGTTCATCGGAAACCTGATAACCTATGCCCAATACCCCGTGGGATAATACTATGCAATATTACCCACCTATTAAACAGTTGTCTGTGAATAAAGCGTGTGGTTCCCGTTGCATTTATTTGATGCTTGCTGTTTATCTATGTGAATTGGGTGCAGATCGGTTCTATATCTGTACTTGACTGCCTTACATCAATTGCTCAGTGCCAGTTTTAATGAATTGTATATCAACATTTCAGTTTGTAGCGCCTTCCAAAGATGAAGCGGAGAAATTTAGAAAGGCCATCACAGGCGGCAAATGTAAGTTTTGTCTTTTTCTCTATTAAAAATACCTTTAATAACAGAATATAATTACATAAAGTATCCTGTAAACTGCTTTCGTCAGTAAATATGGCTGACCAGGTTACTTATAAATATGCATTCGTTTTAATACATGTTTTAAAGGTGTACTTTGGAGCATAAATGGTGATACACAAAGCGTTATTTCGTAACATTTAGCTATTTATTTCCCTCATACAGAGAATCATTAAATTTTCACTTTAAAATGCAAAGATTCAAGCAAGTCCGAAAAGTATTAAGGTACGACATGGTCTTTAGTAGCTTTGTAAATTTTTATCGTTTTGTATTATCAGATATATTTATCAATACGTTTTTGTAATATTTGTAACAGCTCCAAGAAAAACGTTGAGAAAATCCGACAGTTACCCTGGGGTCGAGCCGGCACCTCCTGTTTCTCCTACACGAGATCGTTCCATCAGTATCCCTACTGATAAAAAATCCGAGCAAATGCCATATAAATCGAAGACCCGATCACATACACCTGATCCTTTCCAAAGGAGCCCGAACACACATTCGCAATACAGATCAAACACACTCGGAAGTTCTGATTATGGTAAGACAAGGACAGGTTCACCTAACACCCAGCTCCAGAAAACGCAGTCTTCGCCATACTGCGACAGGTCAACTGTTCACAAACAATGTCCGGAACTACCTACTAGAAATAAACTCGATGTAGATGAATACGGCTATGCAAACGTCGGGGTAAGAAAGAAAGGCCTCCTCCCAGTAGTTGTAGTGGAAAATAATGAAAACCTGATGAATCAACAACAGTTCAGCAGCAGTGACGATAGTGATTCGGATTATGATACTGTTCCCGAATCTGTTCCCCCATTTCCAGCACCACGACATAAACAAGTTGAAAAACTGCTTTCAATATCTGCACAAGAAAACAAGAGAAGTATGGCCCTAGATAGGCAGAAAATGCCATTCCCGGGTTTGACGTCACAGAGCCACGAAAGCAGTGACGATGATCAGGATTATGACTCTCCCAAAGACTTGCCACTACGTCCTGAGTCGGATTATGATTTGGTGGGAAAGTTTCTTCGCAAACCAAAGGAAAGTTTTGATATAGGAAGTACGGGAGATGATGACTGTTATATAGATGCTTCAAAACTGGACTCAGTACCAAATACAAACAGACAACAGAGATCAAATCAGCCTCCCAGAGCCCCATCGAAGCTAGGCATTCAACAACTTGAGGATGATATCTACTTTGAGCCTACATCTGAGTTTGGTCATGTTGAACAAATATCGCGTTCACAAATACAAAATATTTTGTGCACTGACGATGAAAATCCTTATTTCATACCAAGCGAGGAGTCTGGGCATTCGAAAAATGACGAACCTTCTTATTTTAAACCGAATTTAGATTGTGATAAGTCAAGGTTTGATGAAGAAAACCCTTACTTTGAACCTATATCCGACTATGACATGCCTGAAGTCGCAGTGGCGGGGTCATTTCAAACCCCGAAATCAAAATCACCATTAGGCAGAACCAAATCTCAGGAAAATGATGGGTACATAAAAGTACCTGGTAATACCAAAATGACGTCAAGCCGAAATAGTGACGGTTATTCCAAACCGGAGGAGATGGTATGGTTGAAGCGCAAACCTGCAACCGCAGCAGCAACCAACAAAAAGAGCGATCTCTTCACAGATGACTCGGTAATATATGTAAACCTTCCTTTTGCAATCAATAAAAGCTCACAGATGAAACAGATGGAGCAACAGATGGAGCTATCGAGCACAATTAACTCCAAAAATACCATGAAATTACAAAATAGCATGGAGGATAGCAGTTATTCCGATTCTGATGATGAAGATTACATCACGATCTAAATGTGACTGATGCAGAATACTACAAATCACTTTTGCGTGAAAACATCCCAAATACCAAGGCATCGGAACATAATGTAAACTGCTGTGTAAATAACTTTACTAGGATAAATGTGATATTAACACAGGTTTAGACAATTAACCGGGAGTACTGTGATTTCAAGACAAAGTGTAAAATTCATTAGAAGTAACTATCATTATTGTTAATAACTTTCTAATAACATAATATATGCAATTTAATATATTTTATTATAATAAAATTTCTAAAACCCGACTGAAAGGGTATATGCAAGTCCCGAAGTGGCTTCCCGTGTATATAAAAAATAATTGGGAGTGTTAACACAAGGTAAAAACAAAGTGCTGTGCGGACTTTGATGATCAAAGATGGAGACAATTTATCGGGAGTGTTGTGATGTTAACACAAGGTGGATACTATTTACCGGGAGTGCTGTGATGTCAACATAAGGTTGAAGACAATTAACTCGGAGTGCTTTGATGTTAACATAAGGTTGAGGACAATTTACCGGGA